TCCCCAGATGGCAGCCTGCGGCAAGTGCAGCCGGGCTGATGGCCGAGTGCTGTGATGTGCCGAGTGTGGGCACTCAGGGCACTCCAAGCCAGGACTGCTTTGCAAGCGGGGCACCCCTGAGAACTGTCTGTCCAGGGTGGGGGTCGGGTCCCTTTAAGCACAGCCCTCGGCTAGCCTGAGACAGCAGCTCCACGCTCTAAGTCCTCATCTGATGCCCTGCCGGCACTGCTTCCGGCCATCCTTAACCCCGGTTCAGGGTCCACTCTGTGTGGACATGCTAGTTCGAATTAGCAAAACGCTAATTCGAACTAGTTTTTAAGTCTGGATGCGCTAATTCGAATTAGCTTAGTTCGAATTAACTAATTCAAACTAAGTTAGTTTGAATTAGCGCTGTAGTGTAGACATACCCTGTCAGACTACTCACATCCTGACTGTGACAACAGTAGTTCATCCTATAGACCAACCCACTGACAGGCCGAGTTGCCTAGTCTCAAACATAATGAGAAGGGACTGTGAAAGAAACAAGGGGGAGCAAAAGAACAATGACAACTCATTCTAATGGATACCTGAAACCCTGGTGTGAGGGAGTGAAAGAACAGGGCCCAGCATCCCAGGAGTTAAAGAAAGACTCTGGGCCCAGCTAGCCCACTCTGCTCTACCTGCAACCAATGCCAAGCCTGAATGGGAAGAAAAGGAAGGAGCCTGGCTCAGTTAGGGCTGACTTGCAAGGAGGCAGGAGTTTGGTTCAGTAGTCTAAAGTCACTAACCACAGCCTGTCGGTTGAACAGCCGTAGAACAAGTATACTCTCACCGCACCCCTCTGGGAAAAGGGCAAGGGAGAATTTATTGGGAACCACTTAATGGGAAGCTGGAATCTTGGACCCATGTCCCAGATTTAAGGACTAAAATAAGGAGTGGCTCAGAGTTTCTAGGTCAGGAACACAGGGTGACGAGGGGCTATCTCTCCCCGTTTCAGCCTATGTACTCAGTGACCTAGCCACTAGGCTACTTGGCCTTCAGGGACTCAGCCAAACCTGGTAATATTTTTAGTTAAGATTCACTATATTAGTGTGATGCTCAGCTATTAAAATTAATGCATTGCCATTACTCACTAGAGTTCATAAGGACTGTAGCTAAACCAGATGAAATCAAAACAATTTAACTGAAAATCAAAACATTATTGCAAATCATGAGACTGTGAAGGAAAAAAATTACCAGAGAGACAATGAACCAGATTTCATTATATTGTTTACGCCACATGAGTTGTCTCTAATTTCTTAGGCAATTTCTAATTGCAGAACCATTTTTCCTGATCGGTTGGGCTAATACCTACTCACTTTTTTGCTACACTCTGTGAGCTGATGAAACAAGAATTAAATCTCAGGAGAAACTTCCTAGCTGTAAGGATGGCAGGACAATGCCACAGACTGCCAAGGGAGATTGTGGAAGCTACTTCACTGGGAGTTTTGAAAAGGAAGCTGATGGCTTAGACATAGCAAATCCTTCATCTTCACAGGGGTTAGATGGGGCTGATTCTTGTGGTCCCTTCGTACCTCATGATCCTATGATTCTAATAATGGCCTCAAGAATACTAGAAGGAAGAAACCCAACTGAGTAACAACCATTTGTGCCCTTCCATGGGAGAAAATGTCCAGATCCTCACTTCCTTGATAAGCCAGACTTCCCAGGAAGATGAGTAAAAAGAAAACAGCAATTTCCTAAAATGCTGAATTTGCTCATTTTAGCATCTTCACCTGTGGCCTTCAATGGATCTTTAGAAGATGAGGGAATTGCTTCCCTATCACCGTGAGACCTAGGCAGCTGTCCTCGCCAGAATTCTCAGCAGCAAAGCTATAAAATACTCTCATGCCTTTGGAGGGCCTCTGCAGGTCAGCTGCCATAATTCATTCCTGTGGTAGTGCAGGGGCAGTTGAGCTGATGTTTCCACTGGGGTGTTCTTCGGGAAATTATAGAGTAGACTTTGGTTTCTAACGTTCTCTTCAGTCAGCTCCTGGTACAAGCAATAATGTAATGAAGTGTGCAGTGTGCATCTGCAGCCATCTTGTCTACTGCACAGAATTACTCACTTACCAAGAGTTATATGTCCTGTGCGGCTGGTAGTTAATGCAGAGTCTCATTTATCTCAAGGGAAAAAAAAGAGGCCTTTGTTTTTACAGTAAGTGTATTTTAGTTCCAGCCCCGCTTTCACAATCAGGTTATCAGTGGCTAGGGTATGCAAACAGCAATTAATGCCACTTCCTGACTGGATTTTTTTCCCCAGTAGTCCAAAAAAAAATGGAGAGAAGAGAAATAAAGGGAGGATTCTAATTTGGGGATGAATACAAATACCAGCCAATTCTTCTAACCAAACAGCTGGCAACAACGTCTTGTTTTGGCTGATCTCAGGAATGCACTTGTACAACAAGGGAAAGCCCATTCCCAAGCTTTAGGCTTTTGTTTTTAGATAGGCTTCCCTGACTCAAATACTGAGATACCATGAGCAAGCTAGGATGAAACAGGCCTTTTCCTCCAAAATGGAGGCACGGTTTATAGTTGTGGAATCCCTTACTAGTCCATATTTTTTCTCCTTGACTCAATTTTTTTTTACACTGTGAGAGTTAACTTGAACTGGATAGGTTTAACATTTTTTTTAAATTATAATCTACTTTAAGTAGATACCTTTAGCTAAGTTTTGCCATTAATTGCACCCTGTAGTCTAATGATACAATTACAGTGAAAATGTAAATGGAGAAAAAAAACTATTGTACTCCAATAAGCCTTTTTTTCCCCAAACTCCCTGTGATTGGAGTTCTAAGCCTGCTTTATGTCTGCCTATGTTTATAGAGTCATAATTACTTAATTGTTCAGTGGATCTTGGTTATGTAAAAAGAAAAGGCTTTATAATAGGTTTTGATCTTTCTACCATAATTTATGCTTAAACAGTTTGATGGTCCTAAACAAATTAACTGTATGCTGAATAGGGTGGAATAGTCTTACCTAATACGGTATATGATCAGGATCAAGGATATTGGAAAAATGTGCGTGCACCCAGAAATTACCTGTGTATATAGTGCATTTACTAATAGTACTATGAGTTGAATGACTTTCGTTCATTATGACTTTTATTTTCATTAGCACTGAAACTGCCCAACAAGCACCATTGACTCATTACCATGACATAGACACTATACAGGCACAAGAAGAGCGTTCCTCTCTGTGAGCTCCCAGGCCAAATAGACAAGGGATATGATGTACAAGTACAAGCAGAAGACGAGAAATTGAGGAATATAGAGATCAAATGACTTGACAAACTTCATAGAGGAAGCCTGTAGCAGAGCTGGGACCTGAATAGAGGTTTCTGACTGATTTTTGTTTCAGTGCCTTAACAATTTCCTCTGAGGGTGCGTCTACACTGCAAGATTATTTCAGAATAACTAGGGCTATTCCAAAATAACTTAGTCCGGGTCTACACCGCAGGCAGTTATTTCAAAATAGTGTCAAAATACTGTCATGCTGGAGGACTTCTTACTCTGACTCCTGTAATCCTCCTTGTACGAGGAATAAGGGAAGTCAGAGGAAGAGTGTTCAGTTTCAAAATAAGTGCTGTGTAGATGCTCCCTATTTTGAAATAAGCTATGCAATTCACGTAGCTCAATTTGCATAGCTTATTTCGAGTTAAGCCCTACAGGTGCAGATGCACCTTGGTGTAAGTCTAGACTATATGGCTCCGTCGACAGAGCCGTGTAGATGAGTTTACTAGACATAGGAAAATGAAGCGGTGATTTAAATAATCACCGCTTCATTTACATCAAAATATCTGCTGTGCTGTGCCGATCAGCTGTTTGGCAGCACAGCATGGCAGTCTGGATGTACCACGGTCGACAAGGGAAGCCTTTGTCGACCACTCCATTATGCCTCGTGAAATGAGGTTTACCGGAGCAGTCGACAAAGGCTTCCCTTGTTGACCACGGCATGTCCAGACTGCCCTGCTGTGCCTCCAAACAGCTGATCGGCACAGCACGGCGACCATATTGATGTAAAAGAAGCGGAGATTTTAGTGTGCATACATTTATAAACATGCCTCAGAAACCCTGGTGCATACACTGTTCAGAGTGAAAATTAGTACAACCAGCTCTAATAACAACACTCCTCTATCAAATGGAAGAAGTTCCTATAAAAAACCCCATAAAGATTGCACAGACTCTGAAATCTACATTGTCATGAATGTGACAGTCACAAAACCTAACTAATTCTGAAGATTGGTATCCAGACATATTGCAAAATTGTTTCATAATCCTGTCTGAATGAAAATGGGAGCTTTTGAAGAGAGGGCATTAAATTAATTAAAACTGCAAAACTTCAATATAATTTAATTACTGTGGGTGCTATATACCCTTCATATAAAGTTACTTGAAATAATTTCCTCCATTTAGAAGCTCAGATTAGGTATCAGAATATCATTTTCTTCTTTCAGAGCAGTTGTTCTTCTCTTTTTAAAAGGGAAGCAAGCATGCTGAAGGAAGCATAAAGAGTGGATGAACAATTCATCTAAAAACCCCAATTGCATTGACTCCAGTGAGATATGATCACAGGCAGAGGAGGGCAGGAGAGAAGCCACTTAATACTATTTCAGTTTCCTAGCTCCCCATACCCGAATTATCTTGGATTAAATTGATCCATCATTTATTAATACCACTTTCACAATCCTTTGGCTTTTTGTTAATATAAATTAAATTTAAATCATATGCAAATATTAGGATTATGGTGAAATATCCAGGCTGTATGTATTACCACAGTGACACCTGAAAACACTTCTGTACAAAGATTCTATCAGTGTTTTTCATTATAAATTCCATTTTTAAGTCAAAGTGATTCATTTCTTTTTCCTTCTCTTTCAGGTTCCATCCTGAGCTGAGACTTTGCGTGCCAAACTTCCGCCCAGTGTGAATTTTAACAACATAGATACTGGTGAGCCTGAAATTAAAAAAGAAGCATTTTTATGCCAAGCTTGTAAATAGCTTCCCTGGTATAAGGATAACAAAGATGTCAGCCTTGCACAGCACAGAAAAAAATATATTTGGTTCATGCTGTGCATTCCTAACACCGACAGCTAGTGCTAGGAAGGTGGTCAGAGACTTGGGTTCAATACTAGGCTCAATCACAGATAATCGTGTAATTGGATTCTGTTTTTTTCCTGGAAAATTAATAATGTCTTTGAGTCTCATCAAATGTCATATGAACTATTTCCTGCTTGTGACCCTTCCCCTAATGTAGAAAATTACACATCCCCAAGGGTAACTTTTTAAAATAGATATTCAAGAAAATTTCTCCAATCAAAATTAATGTTATAGGGAAAAAAACATATTCACTGTATCTAATGCACCCTCCATTGTAGTATCTGAGTAACCAGATGTCCAATTAATGGTCCAAAAATCGGAATAATTGTGTTAAAGTCACTAAACTAAGACTTGGGTAACTGGGGGTCAGTTTTTGATTCCGCAGCAAACTTCCTTTGTGGCCTGGGGCAAATCATTTAAACCGGGTGTGCGGAACCTTTTTTGGGCCAGGGACCGCTAGCCCACAGAAAAATCAGTCAAGGAAGGAAGCCTGGACTTCCAGCATGGACTCCCCAATGCTGGTGGGAGGCAACCCAGGACCACATCCAGCAACCGGGGCCCTAGGTTCCCCTCCCCTGATTTACACCAAGATCCACAGAGATACATGGGCACCTATCCCTCTGGTTAATGATTCCCAACATCCTGTTTGGTTTTTGCCTGCTGCTGCTTACCGAGTGCATGTGCAGACACATTTTCCCTCTCTCTGGTCCAATGACTATTTATGTCTGTCCACAGTGGAAAGATTTAGGTGGCTGAATGCCTTTCCCGTCCCCACTCCCATTTATGGAATGCTCTGGGACTCTGGTGGGAAATAGGTTCCAGACTCCTGGACAGCCAGCACTGGAACTAAGGGTATGTCTACACTACCCCCCTAGTTCGAACTAGGGGGGTAGTGTAGACATACCCTTAGTTCCAGTGCTGGCTGTCCAGGAGTCTGGAACCTATTTCCCACCAGAGTCCCAGAGCATTCCATAAATGGGAGTGGGGACGGGAAAGGCATTCAGCCACCTAAATCTTTCCACTGTGGACAGACATAAATAGTCATTGGACCAGAGAGAGGGAAAATGTGTCTGCACATGCACTCGGTAAGCAGCAGCAGGCAAAAACCAAACAGGATGTTGGGAATCATTAAGAAAGGATCAGAGAATAAGGCTGAGAATACTTTATTGCTTCTGTATAAATCCACAGTATGGACACATTTTGAGTACTGCATGCAGATGTGGTCGTCTCTTTTCAAAAAAGATATCTTGGCTTTGGAAAAAGTTCAGAAAAGGGCAACAAAAATGATCAGGGGGATGCCGGACCACTGGCACGGAAGGATCAGGGGGAGGAGGCAAAGGGAGCAACTGCCACAGGACCTGGTGATAGAAAAGGGTCTGGATCCTGCAAGTGCCACCGTGGACCCTTTAAATTGCTGCTGGGGCATCGCAGCACTGAGGGCTACTCTGGGAGAGGAGCGTCTCTCTCTGAATGGCACTGAGGGCCACCTGGGAGATCCTAGCCCTGCCCCTGCCTGTGGCAGGGGGGGGCGCCCC